AGAACTTCCTCCCCCCAGCCTACCCCCTCCCCCCCCCAGCCTCTGTCTGCCTGCACTGATCAGGACGAGGCACAGCTGTCACCCTGAGACTTCCCCTGGCCATGCCCCTCTTAATTTACTCCCTTGTTTTGCATAGGTGCACTCTCCAGCAGATTCCTAAGAAAGGGTCCCTGGGTATTAAATTTTCATGTCTGAAAACACATTTACTTATCCAGATGCTTAGTTTATGGCTAGGGCATAGAATTGTAGGTTAGAAGTAATTTTTCATCTAGATTTTGAAGGCATTGTTTTCTAAATTCTAGCCATCTGTCGAGAAATTAACATTATTCTGATTCCTGTTCCTTTGTAACTATTACTTATGGAAACTGTTGGGATCTTCCCTTTAATTCCCAGTGCTCTAAAATTTTTCTGTGATGTTCCTTGGTATATGAATCTTTTTTCACTCATTTTGCTTCATGTTCAGTAAACTCTGAAGATACATATCCTTCAGTTACGAGAATTGTTCTATATTTCTTAGGCAATTTTCTCCTTTTGATTTTTCTGTTCTTTGAGATAGTCCTGCTGTTAGCTCTCTGTTGGCCCTCTTGGACTGATCCTCTAAGAAATTTATCTTCCAAGTTTGCTGGTTTCTATACTGTCTTTGTTATCTGTGCATTCTTTTTTTTTCTACTGGTTTGTTTTGGTTTATCTCTTTGGTCTTTGATTCTTTTCTTAAATGTTTACTGGTCCTCTGGTGACTATTCAAGAATAAGTCACTGAAAAGCTCATTGGATACCTGGTGGGCAGGTTGAAATTTGCTGACCTGTAAACTTCACAGTGAAATTATCAGGTCCCCACCAGTCTTTTGTGTGGGATCCCCAAATGCCAATGTGTAAAACGGCTTCCCCCTGAGGATTCTTCACTGGAGAAACTAAAATCTATGGCAGTGGGTATGCATTGCCAATGTGCTTATGATGAAGAAAGAGGTCAAGGGTCCTTTTTTAAGATTCAGTATGTAGACTTTCACCTAATACCTTGTTTTCAGCCCTGGGCCTCACCCCTGCCAACCACAATAAAGTATAACTCCTCTCACACAGGGATAGTTTGCATGTCTTTAATTCCTGCTTTGCACACACTATTTCTAAATAGTTTAAGTGGTTCAATTCCAACATAGCAAATGGCTGTTAAGAAACTAAACCATTTGAGGGGTGTCTGGCTGGCTCAGTCAGTTAAGCATCTGTCTCAGGTCATGATCTCATGGTTCGTGGGTTCGAGCCCTGTGTCATGCTTTTAACATGCTGATAGCTCAGAGCCTGGAGCCTACTTCAGATCCTGTGTCTCCCTCTCTCTCTGCCCCTCCCCCTGCTAGCACCCTGTCTCTCTCTCTCTCTCTCTCTCTCTCTCTGTGTCTCTCAAAAATAAATAAACATTAAAAAAAAAAAATAGAAACTAAACCATTTAATTAACGTGAGCACATTATTTTGAGCTAATTATATACATGTTCACTGCAGGAACCCCTATTCTGAGAGCATAAAAGAAATGCTAACAACATTTGGAACTGCTACTTACAAGGTGGGACTGAAGGTTCATCCCAATGAGGAGGATCCCCGTGTGCCCATAATGTGTTGGGGTAGTTGTGCATACACCATCCAAAGCATAGGTAAGAGATTTATAGTTGTGTCTTGCTGTAAGTCACAAGTGTATGCTAAGGTGCATTATGTTTAAGAGCCTGTATTTAAATGAGGTGTTTAAAGTGGCAACAGCATGAAGAAACGGCATAAAGATTTCGAAGCAGGCAGTGTATACTGACAGACCATTAGACTGATAGTTTATAAATTAAGCACAGCAACAGAGAACTCATTTTGGTGGTGGTTATAGCTTCTTGTTGGTTGAGGGGTTGTGTTTTCATTTTTACTTTTTCATCCAGAGTTAATTCTTGTGAAACGACTTAAAGATTTCACAACCTGACAATATCGTGCTTTCAAACATGCATAACATCAGATTTATCATCTTAACCATTTTTAATCCGCAGAAAGAATTTTAAGTGATGAAGATAAACCATTATTTGGTCCTTTGCCTTGCAGACTGGTGAGTTGTTGGTTTACTCAGTGCACGGAGTGGTGGAGTGGGAATTCAGTGGTTCTGCTTGTCTGTAATCTGAAGAACTTGAACTGGTTAAGGATAGGTTCACTTCTTTCATAGTAAAACTCATTTAAAAAAATTTTTTTAGTACGTATTTTATTTTTTTTTCAATATATGAAGTTTATTGTCAAATTGGTTTCCATACAACACCCAGTGCTCATCCCAAAAGGTGCCCTCCTCAATACCCATCACCCACCCTCCCCTCCCTGCCACCCCCCATCAACCCTCAGTTTGTTCTCAGTTTTTAAGAGTCTCTTAAAACCCATTTTTTTGTAATGATATGAGAATTCTTTATGATTTTCTTTTAAACAGAGTTGAGCTCTTTTCATCCAGAGATCTTAGTTAAATACATGAAAAGTGGGAAAAAACTAAAAACCATTCTAGTTCTTGAATTTTTAATGCTGTAATTAGAAATATAAAACAGAACACACCCTCTACCACACTTGACTGCCTTTTATGAGCAACATGTAAATAAGTACAGATTAATGTCAAAACAGTATAGTTAATGCTGAGAAAAGTGAGGAAGGAATATGCAAAGCTTGCTAATTTTTACTGTGTAGTTAGTATCACTGCCGGCTATTCAAGTTTAAAATCATAAAACTGCCCTTAAGAGCAAAATCGTATCAATTTATTCATGTAGTCCACCTGGGGAGATTAAAAAATGCCTAGGCTCTACATGGGTCAATTAAATTAGAGTCTCTGGAGAGATTCTGGAGAGTCTTCACCTCTGCTACAGTGCCCTCAGCAGACTCCTCCTCTTTATGATGGCTCTTCAAGCTTTGGCTTCCCTGGGAAACCTCAGAGCCATGCTCTGTGAGTGGGATATCCCTCTTCTGTGGTACTGCCTCCTTCAGTTGTCTCTTCCCCCTTTCCTTCCCCTTCCTCTCTAGTCCCCCCCACACACACATTCCTCCCCCTCCAGCCAGGGCTGTAGCTCCTTGAGTGAAGGAGGAGTGGGGTGAGTTTTCATTTTAAGATCCTCAAAACCAAGACTAATGCATAACAGGTCCTCAATACCTGTTGAACCAAACAACATTACAAAAAAATTGGAAAATAGAGAATGAAGCAGGAAAAAAACTATCAACACACCACTTGTCTTTTTCATTAGTGTGTCTAAACTTGATTAATTTTGTTCCAGCTATATTCTGCACTTCACATCAAGAATTTTCTCATTGCTGCTGCCTAGTCCCCCTAACAGTTTTTGATGGTTGCAGACACCTTGATTTGTTACATCCATCTTCTTGCCCATAGTTTTCCCAGTATTTAGAGGATTTCCCACATTTTACAGCATCTCTTTAGAATAAATATAAAGAAATACTGCATCACATTCTTGAGAGTCTTTGTTGTTTACTATTTGTTTTGATGCATGTATCCTTTTCCATAGAGAACCAGCAGCTTGGTTGTAAGGAGGTAGCTTTGGTTTATTCTGCATACAATTAGATATTCCCCATTCCATTCATTCCATGTTAGAGACAGGTCATTACGATGTCACGGATTCTGTGCCATACCAGCTAGAACGATCCTAGAGAGATCTCATGTGAATCCAGCTTTGCTTTGACTAGCTGTGCTTTGAACTAGGATTCCTGAAAGGAGAGAATTATAGTTGACCCTTGACAACATGGGTTTGAACTGAACAGGTTCACTTATATATGGTTTTTTAACATACATACATACGTATACACATACATATACAGTATGTGTATATATATATATATATATGTATAAACACATACAAAATGTGTATATAACATATACAGAAATGTGTTAATCAACTGTTTATGTTATCAGTACGTATACATATATACACATACAAAATGTGTATATAACACATACAGAAATGTGTTAATCAACTGTTTATGTTATCAGTAAGGCTTCTAGTCAACAGTAGGCTATTAGTTGTTATGTTTTGGGACAGTGACAAGTTATATGCAGGTTTTCAACTATAGGGGGAGTGTGGTTCAACTCCCCCAATCCCCACATTGTTCAAGGGATCAAACGTCCTTCATATGCTGGCTTCTTTGTTAATTGCATCTATCTCTTTATTTCAGGATGACTGTCTTAGGTCACTAACAAGGTTTGCTGCAGCACATTGGACAGTGGCATCACTTTCAGTGGTTCAGAGACACTTTTGTAAACTTTTTGCATGTGAGTATTAACATGTGTACCATATATGTTACAGTAATTTCTCATCTGTGATTTCATTTTTGGTGGTGCAACTTTCTCCATTATGAAAAATATTTTGGTAATACTGTTTGCCTTATGTACAAGTTCTAGCTTATAAGTTCATATATATCTTATAAAGAGATGAATATAAACTAGGGTATATGCATTTTTAAAATAATGTAATGCTTATGTTGGCATATGAGGTGTGCTAATGTATTTTTCTTTAACCATTTAGCATTGGTGCCAGATGACAGCCATGGAGACCTTCCATGCATATTAGATATCGACATGTTTCATTTGTTGGTGGGTATCTTGTGACTTGTGTTTGAAGTTCTTTATCTTACTATATAATTATATCTTAGATTTGGTGAGTAGTGTAAAGACAGACAGGAGAAGTTGTCATCTGTCATTCTTACTACTTCTGAGTATAATTCTTTTCCAAAAGAAAATGTTAAGGAATGTAGTTGAGAGGCTTGACCTCTCTTATTTTGCTTTGTAACTGAGGTCAGTAATTTGACTTCGTTATGTTTTTAACCTATAAAGAAATAGAAGTAACCCTAGTAATGTAAGGTCAGGCTGCTGCTGACCCATACAGTGTTTGGGGGCAGATGAATCCTGTGGTCACGTTACTTAGCAACAGACAGCCCTTTTTTTGTGATTTAAGGAGAGCTATTTCTTCTGAGCAGGTGCAGTCTAGTACCGAGGCACACCATTGGCCAAGCAGTGGGTGGCTCACTTTCAGCCCCACCTCAACTGGGTCCCCTTACATGGAACACTGAGTGCACCCCCACACATAGCAACCCCACGTGCTGTCCCCTTAACCTTTTGGGGCATCAGATTCTGAACCTTTAAGTTGGTTAGTACCTATCTCATATGATTGTGTCCGAACTCAATGGAAGGAGCAATGTGAAGAGCCTAGAGCAAGGTGTCCCTAGTAAATGTTAGCCATTGTTACTGTTTCCATTGGTCCTGTGAAGACCACCACCACTAGCACCACTCGTCTAGGCAGCAGGAGGCTAATGAGAGAACTAGCATCTACTGTACCTGACCGTTTTCACATCCATTCTCAGTTAGCCCTTATATCCTTACTGCTGTGGTATTAAAAACATATATATATTATCTCTAGTTTACCTGCAGGGAAACTGAGGCTCAAGGTGTTATCTAAAAAGCTCATAAAAAGAGCTGGGATTCATATCTAGATTTTTGTATATCTCACATCCGTGTTTTTTTCCACTACTTACTCCCTAGAAAGATTTCAAGTGTTACCTTTATTACTACTAATAAGGTCGGTATTAGGGAATCACTGGGCCTGTGAAATGATGGTGCTTGTGAAGAGCCCATTAGTGTGTATGTCATTTCATTTCGCCAGTCCCAGTGGAATTTCTAAGATGTGTACCCTTTAAGAACAACGATTTCTGCCGGGGGGGGGGGGCAGGGGGGCTGAGCTCCGAAGGGGATCATGTTAAGAAACTGGAAATGTCTTCAGCCGTGGAAGGAAAGGTGACCTGTCTGACCATCGGCATCTGGTATCTAGGTGGGCTTGGTGCTCGCTTTCCCCGCATTGCAGTGTCAGGATTTTTCTGGGATCGGCCTTGGCACTGGAGACCTTCACATTTTCCATCTGGTCACTATGGCACACATCGTACAGATCTTACTTACCTCGTGTACAGGTAACTCCTCTTTGTCAGATTCTTGAAGGAGGAAGTACTTGAGTTTTCTCGATTAAACAAAAAAAAGAAGAGGAAGAGGTGCCTAGGTGAGAATAATGCGTAGATTATAATTAGGCTACTTCTTTTTGCTGTTCACCCTCATGGGGAAAGTTTTCAAACAAATTCCTTTCTCCTATTAAAATCCCCTAGCAATGTGACTGTTTTCACTTACTCTTTATTTCATAAGTTTAGCTAATAGTTGAGTGCCACAGAATTGTTTAGCTGATTTTACTCACAGCCTGCTGCCCGGCACGCTGAAGTACATCGGCTTCCTCTCCTAAAGCCTACTGGCTCCTCGTTAGGACGGAGAGTGACGCTGCTCACACCCGAGGGGGTTAAAGTTCTTTGTATTTGTTAAGTGCATGAATATATGTGAGTGCTGAAATAATGCGGTCATTCATCCATTTAATAAGCAGATATGGAGTACTGATATTTCCATATGTTTCAGAAGAGAATGGCATGGAACAAGAAAATCCTGCCGGTGAAGAAGAATCAGCAGTTCTTGCTTTGTATAAAACACTTCACCAGCGCACAGGAAGGTGAGGTCATAATCCTTACATGATAACAGTTCCCCAAATATGAGTAGGTGATAGCATGAAAACGGAATTCATTTGTTAAAAAAAGGGAAATTGCTGCCTGTTGACATGTTTAAAAGAGAAGATGAGGAAGTGATCCCCAGGGCTTCTAAAATTTTTTTTTTAACTTTTTTTTTTTTTTTTAATGTTTATTTTTGAGAGAGAGTGCGAGCCGGGGAGGAGAGAGAGAGAGAGAGAGAGGCACAGAATCTGAAGCAGGCTCCAGGCTCTGGGCTGTCAGCACAGAGCCCAATGCGGGGCTCGAACCCACGAACCATGAGATTGTGACCTGAGCCAAAGTCGGACGCTTAACCGACTGAGCCATCCAGGCACCCCAAGAAATTTTAATATACTAACGTGATTGGAAGTCACTGAGCAAGGAGTAACATGCAGAGCTTCCCACATGTATTTGGAACCTTCTTTTGCTCAGAGGATCTGGCAAAGTACTATTCTAAAGTATATGTTGTCTTGTTAGGAATTTTATTTTATTTTTTTAAATGTTTATTGTTGAGAGAGACGAAGCGAGTGGGGGAGGTGCAGAGAGAGGGAGACACAGAATCTGAAGCAGGCTCCAGGCTCCCAGCTGTCAGCACAGAGCCTGACGCAGGGCTTGAACTCACCGCGAGATCATGACCTGAGCTGAAGTTGGACGCTTAACCAAGTGAGCCACCCAGGCACCCCAGATATTTTTAAAGTAATATGTAGCACTGGCCAGAGTGCAAGGGAATTATTAGAAATCCACGTATTGTTGGAGTCATTGTGATTTGTTACAGCAGTTTCCTTAGCTTTTTAACAGTGTCTGTTAAACAGGTCATAATCTCATGGTTTGTGAGCTTGAGCCCCACATTGGGCTCACTACTGTCAGCACAGAGCCCGCTTCAGATCCTTTGTCCCCCTCTCTCTGCCCCTCCCTTGCTTGCATATGCGCGCACGCGCGCTCTCTCTCTCTCTCTCAAAAATAAAATAAACATTAAAAAAAATGTATGGCAAGGACCCTGATGTTTATTCTTGGACTGAGTTATCCCATTTCTGAGAATACATGCTAATAATGTATTATGAGAATAATGCTAATAATTCAACATATAGAAAAACCTACAGGCGGGGCGCCTGGGTGGCTCAGTTGGTTAAGTGACCGATTTCAGCTCAGGTCATGATCTCACGGTTTGTGGGTTCAAGCCCCTTGTCGGGCTCTGTGCTGACACCTGAGAGCCTGGAGCCTGCTTCAGATTCTGTGTCTCCCCCTCTCTCTGCCCCTCCCCTGCTCACGCTCTGTGTCTCTCTGTCTCTCAATAATAAATAAACATAAAAAAAAAAAGAAAAACCTATAGGCATAAAGATGTACACTCTGATATTGTTATATTAGCAAAGAATTTAAAGCAATTGCAGTGTTTGCTTGCAGAGGAATAATTTGCTGTAGATTATGTATTCCAGAATATTACAATTCTAAAAACAGTTATGGTTTATGATGTTCTGAAAAACAAGCTGATTTTAAATTTTATATGTTACAGTTAGAGCTATGTAAGACATAAATGAGTGTGAAAATAGTTTGCCAGAATAATAGTGTTGATAAAAGGTTCTAGAACAGTGGATAGTTTTTTATTTCACAGATATTCTGTCTATATAGCTATATTACTTTCATAAAAAATTTTTTAATGTTTATTTATTTTGAGGGAGAGCACAAGCAGGGAAGGGGCAGAGAGAAAGAGACAGAATCCTAAGCAGGTTCTCACTGTCAGCACGGAGTCAATGCAGTCCTCGATCTCACGAACATCAAGAGTCGGACGCTTAACCAACTGAGCCACCCAGGCACCCCTACTTTTATAAATTTTAATAACAGCATTGAAGGCTATAGCATTATTTATACCAGACACCCTGTAATGGGGCTGCCCACTTTTTTAAGCCTCTGTTCCACTGATGCCAAATAGCAGTTGTCCCTGTTCTCATACTGTTCCAAAACTAGAATGACCTTTTCTCATTAGGTTTCCCAATTATTTTTCTCTTTTTAGTGCCTTGAGAGAAACACCGTCTGGCTGGCATCTGTGGAGGAATGTCAGAAATGGAATCATGCCATTCCTGAAGTGTTCTGCTTTGTTTTTTCATTACTTAAATGGAGTTCCTTCCCCACCTGAAATTCAAGGTAATTTCTACTTTCTTTCAAAGTGTGAGAAAGATATGTAGTCTTTCACTCCAGCAGTTTATAATTAAGGTGCCTTATCAAAATGAAAACTTAGAACGTAGCTAATTGACTGTGGTGATGTGCACCATTATAGAATAAAAATGCATATTTATGTATAGGTCTGATTTTATTTGGATCTCAGTAAGTGTACTATTTTTGTACATTATTTTGTCCTATTTTTGTACATTTACATGTACAATACATTCGTTTGGCTTTCAGATGTTAAAATGTTCAATTTTATGTTACTTGTAACCTGGGTTCTTCAGATAATAAAAGAGGAAAACTCACAACGTCAAACATTTCTTGACTTGAAATGTGTGGCATTAATGTTCAGAATACCCCTAATTACGCATATGTGATTTTAATGTAGGAATTCTTTTGCTATTTTCAGTTGATTCCTATGTTCTGTTTTGATTCATTTCACAAAAGTGTAGTACAAAGGCAGACTTGAAGTTTATGGTCTTTGTACCTCATAGTGCCTGGCGCAGGGCCTGGGGAGCCGCACGTAAGGCTGCCCTCTCAAAGTCCATTGACCAGCAGCTTCGTCCACTGAATAGTCTAGACTTCCTAATCATTTGCAGCGATGATTAAAAACAGTGCTTAAATCCATCTCTCATGATAAAATCATCTCCTGTTTCTGCACCGCTTTCTACTTTTCCAGAGCACCCGTGTATTGTGACTGTCACTTAATGCTCACACATAACCCCAGTGAGGTAGATCGTGCTGGTCACCATTTTGCAAACGGCAAAACTGAGTTACCAAGAAATGGTGACCAGTTTGGCTTGGGAGTTGTCTGGCTCCACTCTCAGCTGTGTCATTTCCTGTGGACCCCTTCCACGTGCCCTCTTGTGAACTTCTACCAGTTATGTATCTAGTAAATTCAAACTCTTTCATTGTGCCCTTTTTTTTTTTT